GGGGGGGGGGGGTCCAGCGTTCGGACGCCGAGAGCGCGGGCTGTCGGCATCTACTGCGGGGGGTTTTGCAATGCCACTCCAGCCAATAGGCAGCATTGTGCCGTGTTGTGTGGAGGGAGTTATAATGGAATTGCAGGGAGAACGAGGCAATTGTTCTAGCCAGGGCTCTGGGGACACTGAGACTCTTTTACGGGGTCACTAAGGCTGCGTTGTAGGGACAGTAGAGCCTAGTGTGCCCTTGAGGTTGCTCTGTGCCAGGGCCGGTCTTAGCAACCGCAGCTGGACCATTAGTCTCCCTCCTTCTACTTGTCCGGCACTTCTATCACTCCAACATGGCTGCTTCCTGATCCCTCCTCACCCTCTGTACTTCAATACATCCTTCACTTTTAATCAAATATACAGTATTTTGCTATGCAGTGCACTGCTGCCACCCTAAATGCGCACATGCACACACACCCAAATAGGCATGGGACGATATTGTGTATTGCAATAGAAATACTCATAAATGTATCATGTTGAATTTCCATTATTATGATAATCATGAATTGGCATAATTGTGAATATCCTCACATGGCTTGACTTGAAAAACCTGGGGTAAAGGGTAAAGTGATGTTTTTGTTCCATTTTAAAAGTATATAGTATATTTTCATGATTATCTTGATAATATCGTGTATTATATAGATAATCATGGCGTTACATTTTCATATTGTCCCATGCCTTCACCCAACCTGAAATGGCCCCATATCTGTTATGACTGTGTCATGTGCCAAGTGAAAAGAATTTTTGATCAGCTTATGGCATACTGTGTTACCACCCAACAGTCCCACTGGGGCCTGTTCTTAGAAGCAGGTTTACGGGGTAAACTCCTTTGAGTAAAACCTAGAACAGGTCTCTTACCTCCAGGAATAGGGCCCTTGAGGAGGGAGATGCTATTGTCTTTACTTGTACTCGGGCATGTCATGTCTTTAACTCCCTCAGTGTTGCTGTCAGTTGGTAGAAACCAATGAGCACCACACATTTCCTTTCTTTTCTTTTGATTTAATAGTGCTGACATTTTAAATGTTGCAGCAGCTTTTAACTGATAGATCAAAGCTTATTTAGGATAGTTGGCAAAATTAATCATGTAAACAGTGCTTATGGGGTCTTTTTTTTTTTTCTTTTTTTAGATATTATTAGATTAGATATTAGATAATTACAGTTTTCATCCAAAGCCCTTGAACCCTGTATCCCAGTGGTTCTCAAACTGTGGGGCGGGCCCCCCTGGAGCAGGGGGTGACTGCAGGAGGGGCATGGATAAACAGAGGAAAAACTATGTTGAATGAATGTAAATGTGTTTGCTGATGCTATCATCTTGACCTTTTATTTGACAAAAATGGATCCATCTTTGTTTCCCCCTGTCATTGTTAATGATTGATAAAAAATGTGGGGTTGGGGGGCATGCACTTTTTTCAGCTTCTGAATGAGGGCCCGGCAGAAGAACCACTGCTCTAACCCAAGTTTGTTAAGGAAATTGTGTCATACAAGGTAATGAGATAATCTGTATTCATGTCACCATCCAAGAAGTAATTAGATGGCGAATATATCTGCCGTTGAGCTAAATAATAGTCATCCAAAAGCAAACAATTTCAGTCCACCACTTAAGGTGACTATACTCTAATTTAATATCATCATGAGTTCAGACCGTCACCTCTGCTCATCAGCTGTAAGATTAGAGATTATGTCTTCTGTTAAAAATAGTTTAAATTAAAAAATATTTTGCCAGTGAGGTCTGTGGATAACGGGTGATTGATTCTAGAGACTCACAGATGTTGAGTTTTATTTAAATGTGCTGTGAATTTAGAGTGGTCAGTATGTAGAGTATGTGTTATGTATCTGATGGCTGGCTGCCTATATTGACTTTGTGTAGATTTCAAGGTGTTTTGTAAATTACTGTTAATAAGCGGTTCTTTAAGTTCAAGACTAGTTTTCCCAGAGATCAGAATTTGTGTATTTGTGTGTAGCCAGTGCTTTGTTGAGAGTAAAATGGTAATCTCTTGAGGAAATATACTTTTTGCCAACATTATGTTAAGAAGAAGCAAATTGCAACAGGCAGCAATTCAGAAGAGATAAAAAATCATGTCACATTTACGGAAGAATAGTTTAAAAAGTTTGGCCAAGACATACTGTAACTCGCAGAGGCAATGTGGTGAAATAAGGCCTTTTTAGAAGTAAAATCAATAGAAACATGACACTGGTTGATTCAAATTACGTGACTTTGTGAATATGAAAGTGGTGATGTATGATGGGCACCAAACTGCATAATACTAGCTCAGCACATCCATACTTGTCAGGCATTAACATTTTTAATGTTCAAATTTCCATGCTTTTGAATTTATGTAGTCTACATGGCAGTATTCTTACAACCTGTGCCAGCTGTGATGTGGTAATTAGAGATTGATGGGTTTATGATGACCCAATTTCCCTTCGGGGATTAATAAAGTCTATCTATCTATCTATCTATCTATCTATCTATCTATCTAATCTATCTTATTATAGACTGGGAGTTTCTCAACTTATTTGCCTGTTGCTCTTCTTAAAAGCCTTTTATTGTATGTACATAAGTAAAGTAATACTGCAATACTCATTACTCCACATTTATCTATAAACTTGTAAATCATTTAGAACACAAATGTGTGAACACTTTGCTTGAATCATTGACATAAGTCATGTAGATTGCATTATAAAGCAATAAATTACAGCATAACAATGTTCAAATTCATGTGAAGGGTTTTCTTTTACTGATTCAGGTAATTTAACTTCAACATTCAAACTAATATGAGTTGGCTTCAGTTTTCTGAATGCCAGTTATCTCATTATATCGTCCAATTTTGGGTCATTTGAATGCTTGCAATACACGTCAATGTATCTACTGTGAAAGGACGGACTAATAAGGTAAAAAAAGGAAGGAAAATAAATAATAATAAATAACAACGAGTCTTTTTTCATAGGCAAATAAACCCTCATTGTCTGTCTCTAATATTCTAGTAGTTTGATGCATGGGTGAATGACATTTTAAATGTTGCAGCAGCTTTTAACTGATAGATCAAAGCTTATGTAGGATAGTTGGCAGATGTAAAATGAATGAATTTGACAAAAATGGATCCATCTTTGTTTCCCCCTGTCATTGTTAATGATTGATAAAAAATGTGGGGTTGGGGGGCATGAACTTTTTTCAGCTTCTGAATGAGGGCCCGCCAGAAAAAAGCTTGAGAACCACTGCTCTAACCCAAGTTTGTTAAGGAAATTGTGTCATACAAGGTAATGAGATAATTTGTGTTCATGTCACCATCCAAGAAGTAATTAGATGGCGAATATATCTGCCGTTGAGCTAAATAATAGAGTCGACCCACTTAAGGTGACTATACTCTTTATACTATTTAATATCATCATGAGTTCAGACCTTCGCCTCTGCTTCACCAACTGTAAGATGTAGTTTGCATTATAAAGCAATAAATACAGCAATGTTGTTCAAAGTTCATGTGAAGGGTTTGTTTTACTGATGTCAGGTAATTTAACTTATGCATTCAAACTAATATGAGATGGAGCTCAGCTTCTGAATTGCAGTTATCTCATTATATCTCCATTTTGGGTCATTTGAATGCTTGCAATACACGTCAATGTATCTACTTTGAAAGGACGGATTAATAAGGTAAAAAAAGGAAGGAAAATAAATAATAATAAGTAACGAGTCTTTTTTCACAGGCAAATAAACCCTCATTGTCTGTCTCTAATATTCTCAGGAGTTTGAGGCATGGGTGAATGACACAGCAGAGCATGGCTTCGTGGTGGTGTCGTTCGGAGCTGGGGTCAAGTACCTCTCCCAGGACATCGCTCACAAACTGGCAGGAGCCCTTGCCAGGCTGCCTCAGCGAGTCGTCTGGAGGTAAAGTATCTGTTTGCTCACTTTCACTCATACTGTACACAGCTGTTACTGTGACAGATGTGAACAGGATTTGCTGATGAGCTTCAAGTGAATGCCTTTCCTACACTAAGCAGGGGGCTCTTAATGTCAGAAGACCTAGTATGAATATATCAGTAATGTTATTCATACTTTATATGTACTTCCATAATCCGTTACTCATACCGTTCTGTTGAATCACACATGGTAAAATAAAGGCGATGTGTTGTTCCTCTGTGCCAGTTGGTGTTCATATTCCCACCATTTTTTTTAGCAAATAGTTTCAAAAGAGAAGGATTTATCCTGAAAGTTTTCTCAGTTAAAGTTTTGTGTCTCACTCATAAACATGCAGACACATATCCATATCCCTGGGCTAGCCTTTGTGGTCAGTGTTACTGGTAGCCACAGGGCTGTAACAACATGCCATTGTGTGTCATTTGCTGCAGCGATGGGACAGGTGAAAACTAAAGCTGTTGCAGTGTCTGTCACAGTGTTATACACTATGAATACAGATATGATCAGGATGAATTAATAACGAGAGGTCGTTCACAGAGTTTTCTAAAATGTTTGTGCTTGCCCAGTGAGACAGATAGGTGTGATTAAAATCTAAGCTCTTGAATTAATTTACAAGGAGTCCCACAGCAATGATTACTGACTACAACCTGAGCAGGAAAACACAAAAAATAAAAGGAGGGAAAGAGAGATTGATAGACGAGGGAAAACAAATGTGACACCAAGTTTTGCAGTGCTTTAAAATTCCATCCATGAACCTGTTAATCCTTAACTCTTATCTCAGTATATTTGAAGTTTGTGATTCATTGACCACATTAACACTCATTGTTTTTGTGTAACTTTTATCCCACAAATGACTGAAGAATAGTTAATTATACATCCAAACACACCGGTTTAAGGTTAAAACAGGTTATCAGACAATTTGTTCATATAAATCATGTCAAGTAGTCCATTACTAATACAGATTGCAAGAAACCGATCCATGGACCTAGTACTACATACACATGGTCCCCAAATCTTTTCTATAGGTTTTATGATAGCTGGGTTAATGTTTGAACGGTGTGCAAAGGTTAGTGGCTGGTGCATGAGGTCTTCACTTGTACAAACACACTTGTTTACAATGATGCCATTACTGGTCAAGAAACCTTTCATTAGGTGCGTCTGTGCCAGATAATTACAGTTTTAAAATGATATGTTGGTTTTATTTGTACTTGGATCACAGAAGTCAATGCCAGTTTTGCTGTAGTCCTTTTTGTTCCTTTGTGTTAGCCAGATGGAACACTCTTATGACCATAGAAAGAGACCTTAGAATGATCATGCAAGTTGGAAAAGTCCAAGGATATGTGATAAGAATGGAGGGGGAAATTGATGTCTTGTAAAGGTTACACAGATGACACAGATTTACTCAGTTTGGTAGCAAGTCTATTGACCTACAGCATCTCGAATATCATTCTGCCCTCCAACCAAAGCAAAATAACACACCTAAACTTTTCCCATCATATTTACATATATTTTACATGTAAAGCCTCATACTGACATTTTGACTTTCTATTGCTTCACAATCACAGGAGTAGTTTAGTTGTGTGTCTGCCTTATCTTCCTCGGTTGTCTGCACCTCACTTTTGTGCGTGTGTCTGAATTTTTGAAAATAGAATATAAATGCATTAAGTAGTGTATAGAGCTGGGGGAAAAGTGGATAAGGGTGCGCCTAGTGTGACATGCTAGGAGAAGCAACAACAATAGGCACACACTATAAACTGGAGTCTTGGGGTTGGAAAACCAAATTTTACAAGGAGCTGGACAGAGAGAGGAAGACGATCCAATTGTAGTTGCAGTGTCTGCTTACCCTCAGGTGATCAAACAGCTTGCCAGGGTTGTGGGCAGAAGGCACTGTGTGTTGTAATGAGGGCGGCTGGATTTTGCCTTGGCATTCAACATGTATGAGTGTTTGACAGTCTGTCATTTTAGTGTGACTTTTTCGTGAGTGAAATGACAAAAGGCAAATGAAACACATTCCTCTGTTCTCAAGCTCTGAACTTTAACGGTGAGATATCAAGGTCTACAGGTGAAGTGAGTCAATCTTCTGAAATTTGCAGCCATAGACAGGAGCCTCATGTAAGCCCCAAGACTTTGTATGTGACATTGAATTGTAATCTGGCTTTCAGTGGCCCTCCCAAACTGAGAGGGTTGAAAAGGAAGACGGCTGATGAGAGGGACAGGGACCAAGCCAAATGAATCGTGTCATTGATAATTGGCTGCATGAATGTAGGCTTTGATTGGCAGGACAGTGAATTGGTGCTTTGTTGAAGAGAGAAAGAGAGATGAAAGAGTTTGAGTTAGGGAGGGAAGGAGACAGAGATGGACGGGTGGGGGTCATAATGTAGCATGCATATGTATTGTGTGCTGCATTTGTCAGAAAAGGCTTCCGCACGCTTGACCGCAGACACCAACAGGCATACGCACAACACTGCACACATTCACCACCCGTTAGAGGACAAAGGGTTGAAACCTAAATGTCTGAGTGAACAAGAAAGGCCCTTCTGCTTTTTTGCTTTTTGTTTAGGGAAAAAAAGAATTGAATTCCCCTTTGTTCACTTTCTGCATCATGTAAATGTTAGACTCAACTGATTAACTTAGCCTTCTGTATACAGTATCTCTTGTACACACTGTCCATACAGTACATATTCTGCCCTCACTATGCATGTATTGGTGCACAGAGTAAATGCCAAGAGTAAATGTAAAAAGGGTAAGAGAGTTACAGTACCCTTAAGCAATCTTAACAGTAAACTGATATGAAAAACTAAATTAAAGAATAGAAAATGCACTGATTTGCTTTCGCAGTAATAACTTCCTAGAGTATTGTGGCGACCATGAGGTGTGAAGCGGAGACACACCTGTAACACTGTCAGTTTTACACTTATTTTATACAGATTACGCAAATGAGACACAGTTAACGTGTTAATCAGGGAGCTTCAGAGGTGTTGGTAGGTTTGTTTCCTTCCAACAGAGTCAGGCAAGCTGTTTCCCCCTGCGTCAAGTCAGGGTTGTAGTGTAGCTTAATATTTACTATATAGACATTAGAGGGATATTGTAACACAAGTGTGTTATCCAAAATGTCAAGGTATTCTTTAAACGATCACAAAACAGTTTTAATAAAAGAGCAGGCTACTGACAGATAAAGCTCCGACATCGGGGGTAGATAAAATGTCAATATTTGCTTGGTCACACATCTGACAAAATGCTGGCTGTAACAATGTCAGTTTAACATACTATACATTTTCTGGTTATGAAACAGTCTCAATTTAATTATTGATGCATCTGTAAGTCCTACATAAACAAACAAGACCATCGGCTATTTCTATATAGTTATTCTAAACACCACCTGCCACCTGCCACCGGATCGGATTCCCCCCAAAATCAGACGAAATGAGGCGGTGTCCTCGGGGGCCGCCAGAATCAACACAAAATAACAGTTTCTTGTAGCTGTAACTGCTATGGAGCTATGCCCTTAGGGGTTGCTAGTAGCAACATCATGTTCAACTATTACCACACTGCTGGTGAAAGAACAGTACGTGTGTGTGTGTGTACACTCATATCCCACAATCAGTGGTATTGGCACATTGGACATAAATGTGAAATACTTGGTGATTTGCTAATCTATCTAAATATAAGTAAAGTGAAATATGACTTTTTTTTTAAATGAAATTAAACATCAGGGATCTTCTTGGTGTTTGCATACTGTGATGACAACATAATATGATAAAAAGTGAGATAAGCTACAGTATTTCAGCGTTGTATTTCCCCCTTTCTTCCTTCATTGTTTTCTTTTTTCTTTCCTTAGATTCTCTGGGGTTCCACCCAGTAACCTTGGCAACAACACCAAGCTTGTTGATTGGATGCCTCAGAATGACTTACTAGGTGAGTACACTGAGAGGACACCATGTGTGTACTTCTAGTTATCTTATCAGCTGGTTTACTGAATTTATTGTTTTGGACCATAAAAACTGATATGTATTTTATTGTACTTGCCACACCCCACAGACCAAAACATTTCATAAATCTAATTTGTTTATACCCCTGGTAAAAGCATATCTTAACTCATTGGTGTTTTTTTATGGGATGTTGCTGCTGTGCCTGTGGTGGACTAGGTTTTGTGTGGGTGGGTTCCTCCCATACCTACATATTAACTGCAATAGTGGGTACAATGTGAATGTATAAGCCACTTTGTGCCTGTCTGGAATAAGGAATGTACAACAACATTCAGGTATTGACAGCTAGCATTGTATTCTGCAATGGTGTAATAGCACCTCGGTTAGTCTAGACTGCAAACACGTAAACGTTACGCCTGTCTGAATTTTTGGTAGCTCGGTAAGAGGCGCAGCGTGGAGGGGCAGTTAGCGTGAAAACAATAAAACGTATCTTTTCTCTAACTCGGTTTGTGGCCCATTCCATCATAGTGCATTTATCGACATTAAATGTTGATGGCCAAATGAGCAAAGTATGTTCAGTTTAATAAATACAGCATCACCTTCTCTTTCCAAATATAATAACATTTACCCACAATGATCCACAGAATTTGTTGGCTAATTGTGACTTAAGTGTTCCCTCCAGGGTTTATGTTGGAGTTTATCTTGCTCTTGAGATTAAATTTTTTGAGCATTTATCGTCAAAAAACAAACTTTTAAACTGATTTAGAGAAACATTTAAATTTACCATATTTTAGCTGAGTTACACTTTTTTCTAAATTGTTAAAATGTGTATAGTAAAAGTAAAGCTTTTACTTTGACATTTCTCCCTTCATAAAAACACTGACTGAGGTAATTTGTTAACTACACTGTTGAAATACTACACACACACACCTATGTAAAACCGCCCTCCACCCACTCTCATGAAGTGAACAGTGAGATATTGCTGAGTGTGCAGCAGTTTGTAGGATCTACTGTATAAACTGCAAATAATCTAGAAATACCAACCCAGCAAAATAAATGCCCTGTCAAAAAAAAGACTAATGAACATAACCACCTAACATGCAAACTAACATCCCTTATCCCTCCGGTTATCTAGGCCACACCAACACAAGGGCCTTCCTGAGTCACGGTGGCCTGAACAGCATCTACGAGGCCATGTACCACGGGGTGCCAGTGGTCGGCGTGCCCCTGTTCGGAGACCACTATGACACCATGACTCGCGTGGCAGCCAAAGGTATGGGTATCCTGCTGCACTGGAAGTACATGAGCGAGGAAGACCTCTACACGGCCCTGACCAGCGTCATCACAGACACCAGGTTAGACCACACAAAAATGCTTTGTATATTAGAGTTATTGTGTATCAGTGCCATCTGGTGACCGTATATGGAATCACCTCTCTGTCACTCACCGTCTTTATCTCGCTTTCATACATGGTTGTACTTTCATGTGTCTGTGCCCTCTTGCGTGCTTAAAGACGTGTCTACTTGTGCGCTTGTCTCTTCACATCCTGGTTTCCAACCACTGTCTCTACCTACCTAGGTACCGCCAGAAAGCACGTCTTCTCTCCAACATTCACAAAGACCAGCCAGGCCACCCTGTGACCAGGGCCGTCTACTGGATCAGCTACATCCTCCGTCACCACGGTGCCAACCATCTGCGCTCCGCCGTATACGAGGTGTCCCCATACCAGTACTTCCTAGTGGATGTGATTGTCGCTGTAGGGGCTGCCTTGGCTCTGAGCGTCTTTGCCCTGCGGCGGTTGGTACGATTGCTGAGGGGGAAGGTCGGGGACCAGAACAGAGGAGGTGCAGTCACCAGGGATGATGGTAACATGGCCAATGGACATTGCCATAGCGAGAGCATGGCCAACGGGAAACACAAACGCAATGGCTCCTTGAAAAATGAGAAGAAGATAAATTAATGTTTTGAATGGCCAAGAGGGAAGAGGAAGAAGTTGCCCCAAGGACTCAGCTCTAGGATTGGTTTAGTGGTTTTATAAAAGCTTTGAGAGAAAGTTCTTAGGTCTGTGTCAAGAGGCAACTGCTACTCAGAGTGAGCAAGAGGCTGTAGGAGGATACACAATGCATCATGTGGGAAACAGAGCAAGGCATCGGGTGCTCAAAATCTGTGTGTGTGTGTGGGTGTATGTGTATGTGTGCACTGAGGCGAATTTAACGAAAAAAAACTCTAACAACAGCAGCTACAGCAATACAACACCAAATTGGAAAGTAATTGAGGATGAAACACAGGAAAGACACACTGGAGGACATTGTTTCTTCATGTGCGTCTTCTCTCCTGCGTGTTCTCTGTTGTCTTCCTGCCTTCCTCACCCAGTGGAAGGATGACGAAGAGGGGAAATCCTGAGCGCCAACCCCTCATCCTCGGAACAAAACAAGAAAACAAATGGATAACTTTTGAAATATTTAGGATTTTAATGTTTTTAACTGCAAAGTCTGCTTCAGCAATTGTAAACTGTAAATAGAGGATAAATCTATTTATTACTGTACAAATGCAATTTAATGATGGACCTTTTTAACCTTAATCTTGTTTTTAATTTATTTTGTGTGTCAGTGGTTCTATGGCATGATGGTAGATGTACACTCCCTTGTCTAAGCTAACATTGTATGCTTCATACTCAATAGCCGTTGTAAGTCCGCGCAGGTCTGTGCTTTTTTGCACTATCCGCAGTATTCACGGTTGGTCTTGTTTTCAAATTAATCAGAGAAAATATTCAGTTTTTCCCTTTTCACATGGTAGTGCCAACCTGCGATTGCACTTTGCTCTGCAGTGTTCCATTTGTCTCTTGAATGACAGTTTGCTCTGCATGAGAATAACTCAACTGAACTCCGTTTGGCTTATCAGTTTAAAAAGGGGGATCATGTTATCATCAGAAGCTATAATAACTCCCGAGGATACTGCGGATACGCGGAGCCAGACCGTGCTCAAGCTCATCCAGTCAGGTGATAAGAGATGAGTCAGAGCATTATTGATTCATGATTACTTCCTTCATCAGTCCTATATTTCAATTCTGCATCCCTCATCTGTTTATTACTTAGTAAGGATTCATCACTTGATTGCCATTTTTGTTGCTGCACTTGACTTTGTGCAACGTCATTCTTCTGTGATTCATTTGTTGGTTCATTTCTAACATATGTTGCAAATGCTAGTTTTTGAAAATGTCCCGGTTCAGGTAGGAATTTCAGAATCCATTCTTCTATTCTGCAAGTTAAAAGTCTGTTCAGTTTCGATTTTGAGGTCAGTGTACAAATTACGTAGGCCTTATGTATTTATATTAACTTTCAGTGTGAATGATTCACATTCTGTATGTTGCCTTTTATAATGCAGTTACTCGTGTATGCAGTATGCTTGAATACGTGTATGTGCTTGTTGTTTCGATGCTTGTGCATTTTAGATCACTGTGCGGCTTTAGAGTGAGTGGATGAAAAAAAGGCAGATGAGGCATGTTTTAGCCCACTCTGAGGCTTTTTTTTGGTATCCTGTGAAGTCATGTCATCATGAGTGCCGGTGCAAAGGATGTTTTATTTTCTTTTTATTTCAATTCAACTGATGTTTCCTTCAGTAGCTCTTTTTTTATCATCTTATGTGTCAATCCACTCCATATTATTTCACTCGTGTTTGTTAATTCTTAATGCAGATGCAGATGTAAGAAGGGTGTAAGAAGGGTGAAAGAGTGACTTAGTTCCGACAGCAAAGGTGAACCCCACGACTTCTACAATGAATAGTAATGTGTCAAAGTGACACTGATCCCTGCAGTGAAATTCTCTTTTCTTGAACTCCTGTCAAGGAGATCAAAGTACAGGGCGTGCTGTAGGAGTATCTTTGGAGTTTGTGCGGATTCAGTATCTTGCTAATGGACATTTCAGAAGGGCAGGTGCTCGTGAACATGTGACATAAAAGTCACATGAACATGAGACTTCCAGCTGGACGGTTTATCAAACCACCAGGTACTACATACTGTATTTTCCTCCTTTGTTCTTGCAGCACAGTGCAGACTTTTTCAAACTTTAAATTGCAACCACAACATTCTAGCAGAGATTGTTCACCGACTTACCAAAGCCTCACACATGTAAATTTAAAGGAAACAGAAGAAATACTGTCACTTAACCTTTCAAAAGCTGTTAAGGACTTAACATCCAACCAACATGCATGCACATACAGTATGTTCACAAATCCTGTATGATAATTGAGAAAAAACTTGATCTTCAAACATGATCTTCCTTTCTCTGTGAGCTACAAGTACACTTGCACAGCCCAACGCAGCCCTGCTGAAAGGACAGACTATTATACTTGAATCATCATCATATATAACAACTTCAGCTGTTGGGTGTGGTGGGTGGGCCTGCAGGTGCTACAAAAGCTATGAACAGGATCTGGAGAGAAATTAATTTTAATTTTTATTTCAGTATTAATGTTGTTACAACCCACGCAGTTACATGTTCATCCCGTACTTCTCTCATATGTGTCCGTACTAACTCTGCAGTCTGACATGTCTCTGTTCTTGTGATGTTTGTATTTCATCAGCTTGAGGACTTTCTTGTCGTCAGTCGTGCGTTTGCTTGTTCCATTTGTCCACCTCTTTGTCCTTCTCATGACTTCCTGATGTATTCTGCCATCTTTGTGTTCTTGTCTTTTTCTTCCTCCTCCTCCCCGCTAAATTATATGATTATTAGATGTCTCCACTTACTTGCTTTTAAAAAAAAAAACCTTAATTTTACTTTGATTTTAAAATGACATAAAGTCCTCAATTTTCTTGTCATGTGTGTCCATGTTGTAAATAGAACAATGTAAACAAAATACTAATGCTGAATAAAAATGACATATTTTGTTTGCAGAGATGATTGAAGCTTATTTCTCAAATTAGATTACCTTTATTTTTTAAATAGAAATTTAAAGAAGGCAGATGAAACTCGTGAAAAGTGGAGCAAAAGTGTAATTGCTCAACATATTTTGCCTCTCCCGGCTTTTATCAGTACAACTGTACAACAATACTGACCATACAAGAACATACAGTCTGGGTTTTTGAGACCTGACAAGGCTGATGTTGACTACAGCAGTTGATGCTGCCAGGCTCAGTTTGATAGGGGATGTATAGGCTTTCTGTCGGGAATTGTTACCAAGCAGCAAGAGGTTTTGTAGGTATCAAATGGTAGAGTCATCTAAAGTAGCCAACTGCACACACATACACATGCACACAAGCTGGGTGGATAGATAGGGTTATCTAATGCTGTATGCTCGTGCTGACTGAGGCTGGGGTAACAAAACACCCAGCCTGGTACCCTGCCTCGCTCACTGGCCCTGTTAATTATTCACACCGCCCGCAGGGGCCTGCAGACCTCACACATACACACACACACACACAGTCAAAAGCATCTGCAGGTATGTTTAATTTACGTTCTTGAAGTTGTTTTCTTTTGTTGTCGCTGGTGGCCAAATCGGGCACTGTTCTGTTAACTGAGACAGGAAGGGGGGAAGAAATGGAGGGCAGGCCTCTGCTGATGAGGAATCTGATATCACAGAAAGCACAGTGGACATCATTCATGACATCCTCCATTCATTCTCAGCCACCCCTCCCTCCTCAGACCTTGTAAGTGCCTATTATCTACCATTCCTCTCCACCTCGAAGGACAATCATCAGAAGCAATTAACCACTTCGGGTTGGACTAAGTGGGCTTAGTGTATGGAGTAAGAGTCCTCCCTCTTTGCACAAGATCTAAGTGATGGATTTGAACAGTTTGACAACATGTTCTGCACACAGACTTACAGTCTTTATGTGAGAGTAGGGCTTCAAGTATATACTGGGAGTTGCATGTGTGCACATTATTGATTATTGATGTTTGACCTAGCTTGTGCATTTGTTGGGTGTGTAAGTGACGTGCCATGGGGTGTATGCCGGTTCTGAAATTGTTGACTTAGCTTGTGTGAGCTTAAATGAATGATGGCCTTTATTTAGCCTGTATTCATCTCTGTCAGATATACAGATATATATATAGCACATAGTGTAGTGGTGGAAGAAGTCTGCATTAAAAAAAATTACCTAAAATGTCAAAAGTAATTATGAAGAAAAATGGTCCCTGTCATTGTTTTACTATTGCATATAATGTTTTTAGATTAATATGGCTGCTAAAATAATGTCTATGTTGCATTTTACTGCTGTAGATGTTTATAGCTGTGCTAATTTAAACTACTTTATATACTGTTGGTGGGTTTACTCTATGGAAATCATATTCTGTAAGTTCATCATATGTTTGTAGCATTGCTGTCATGTGAGAACCACGTGTCTCTCACAGTCAACTTTTCATGAGCTAATCCAAGCAAAACAAGTTTGAAAATTGACCTCACCCTCCAACATACGCATTTTCAACATTTGAATTGTGTTGCTGTGAAGCCATGTGAAAAACAGCCTTGTTCCCTTGAACAAAAATAGTCAAAATCCTAACATGTATTTTGGGATTTGGCTGGTCTTATTACGGCAGAGCGAGGTGCTACAGTGTGTGCAGTATGTACTTTGCTCTTAAAGCTAAAAATACTTGCTTTTATTTTTTCGAAAGCACTGAGCTTGTAAGCCTGCACTAGGCATTGCCTTGCCACCCTCAAGATAAGGACCATGGGAACAAGTATACAGTCTTCGTACATATGAGAGGACTCATCATCATCAAAAAGGCCTGTGAAAGACTGTGCAAAAGGCTTTTCTTTGGTCCTCCTTTACTCTTTTGTCTTTCATCGACTTTACTTTGCCCTTTTTAGTCGAGGGAGAGGTAGAAAGCAGGATCAGCTGTGTGTTTCATCTTCTGAAAGGTTAGGATCAATACGACCGAGGCCAGCTTTTAGGAAAAAAATAAATAAAATAAAAATACTAGGCAGCATAACTAGTACCATGATACTGGTGTACTGTAGGTGCACAGAAAAAAGTGTGAGGCCTGCAGGTTTCCCCTATGTCCAGTAGAGGGGAGTAGTATTCCATAATCAACTGCTCTGGTCACCTCATGCTGCTGTCTTTTTTTCTGTCTCTCTATCCTATTTTTCTCACCCCTCTGCCTCGACCAACAGCTGATGGACCTGTTGACTAATGTTGAAGAAGCTCTGAGTTCTGATGCAAAGATCTTGCAATATTTAGTAGACTATATGTGTGTGTGTATGTGTGTGTAGGTGTGTGTGTGTGTGTGTTTGGCTCTTGTGTGAAGGTGGCCTGCTGTTGTCATTCTGGCCCAGTATATATCCAGCTGTAACTCCTATTAAATCTCCCTCTATCAAAATCTCTGCTCTCAAACTCTGCATGTGGCCCTGGCCATCAGAGGAAGCCTTGGTGGAATTCAATTCAAACATCTGAAGCCTTCAAGTGCCACAATGTGTGTACGCACGTAAGATTTCAAATGAAAGTTAAATGATCCGTGTGGAGAAACAGGGTCCTTCCAGCAGCCTCAAAGATAAGAAGAAGCCAAAAAAGAGACGAATGGTGGTAGTAAGTAACTGCAATAAGCAAATATAATTGGTATGTCCTGGTTTTTGTACATGTAGGCCTTAAGTGTGCGCATGCATTTGCATGTGTATTTATATGCATGTGTGTGCTTGCGTGCATTTGTACCATATGTGTGAGTGTGAGTGTGTCAGGGTGTTTGGGATAGATGGAGCCCTGTCACTGTGTCACCATGGAGATAAGAGAAGCCTGACAGCAAGGGAGAGAGAATGACAGCTTTTATATCAATCATACTGACTTATAACTGCGTGCGTGTGTGTGTGTATGAGTGTGTTTGTAAGTTAAGGGGTTAGGAAAGGGTATTAAGCTGGAATCAAAAATAAATCAATGTCATGTGGCTTGTATGTCAGCAGCTGTTGTCAGTTTGGCCTCACCTCTCACAGTAATCTCTAAACTCCAGTGACCACACATAAACTCTCTCTCTCTATCTCTCTCTCTCCACACACACACACACACGATGCACTGACACACAAACAGACAGATGCCCGTGTGTGTCACCCATCTCTAAGTGCCTGGACAACACCCAGAAGGAGAGAGTTGGCCAAATGTTGTCCTGGCACATAAATCTACATCTTCTTCTTCAGATTCTCTCTGGTCTAATTCTCTCTGTATCCACTCTGAATTCCTATTCCTCTTCTCAATTTCACTTCTTTTTCCCGCTTCCTTCTACAATTTCTTGTATTTCTATGTATTCAGTTTCATTCCCTGCCTCCAAAAACATCGTCCAACCCAGAGCCTCAGTGAATCTGTAAGCTGATGCAGCGTATCTGTGAGGAATTGGGAATTCAATTGGAGAAAATCAGGCTTTTGAGTTTTCAGCCAGATATTTAATTATGGGAGTGAATTATAGCTGTGCCACTGCAGGGCACAGTGGAGAGGTAATGTGACTAAGTAAAACAATAAATAAGCACTAAATAAACATAAAGTCAATGCTATGCTTGATTAGAAACATAACACCCACTGCTGCCCTTGCTAAACCTCCCATGCTTACTTACTTTAGCCAACAAAAGCCAAATACTTTACACTCTATGCATGTGTTTTTGTGTGTTAATACATGAAAACATATCACTAATATTATCTGAATCCTTTGCTCCGCAGTGGATCTCAGACAGCAGCCGAGAGAGAGGCCAGTGGTGAGATGGAAAGATATAGAGAAGGAGGAAGATAGTAAGATAGAGATCTAACCTCCACTGTGATTAGGTACTGACCTCATAGGCCTGCTGTCTGCACTGATAAAGAAACAGTAAGATATATACACACACACACACCCTCTACCCTTTCCCTTATTTTGAACTCAGTAAATCATTTGATCCTTATCAGATGTTCATTCATTTCCTTTCTCTCTTGTCTCTTTCGCTCTGGGTTTTCTTGCTTTTCATATTTCTGTCTGTTCTCCCAAAAGCAAAGGAAAGAGATAATCTTGCTATGATCTGTTTTCAGAATCTGTTGTGCATGCGCTCTCTTTCTTTTTCTTTGCTCTGCTGAAAATGTTTTCTACACGTAAAAAAAAGTTTAAACAAGGTAAACTTGCCGTATCTGGAGTTTGCCAGGCTTCAATGTTCAAATTGTTTTTGCTTGGTTTGAATAAAATAAAAAAAAAAAAAAATGCTTGCTGATGTCATTTTGCCGATTCACCTCCTTAGACACAGAATGAAAAATCAATGATGGTTGAGCATGGTACATCTGAGAACAGACAACATTGGACACTCATCTGTATTAAGTGATGACTGATAACTTCAGTGATAGTGATACTGACACTAAATTTCATGAGCCTTGCTCTTTGCCGTGTTCCTGAAGGCCTCATCTAATGTCAAATAACTGTGTTACCAGGCTTGTCAGATATCAGATATCCGTACTGTCAAACATAACTCATTTTAAAGTCTAGGTTAAAGCAGGGGGATAACATGGTTATCTTCCCTGATACTGTATATCTGTTGCACCTATGTATTCAAGCATGCATGCGCATGTGCAGACAGACGCTAACACATACACCTCCATTGAGTCAGTCAGCGAGCTCTCCATCATTGCCAGCGGTAGCCCGGTGCTCTTTGGTTGGTTGCAGGTTGATGGATGAGTCTCCCTTGAGCAGCTCTGTTAAAGCGCCTCTCTATCAGGCTGCAGCCGCATGGGCCCTCACATTTGATTAGATCCCAATGGAAGCCAGTTGCTCCCTGTCATCACTCATACAGCATAGGCAAGAGATGCAACGGAGACAGCCATTGGAGCGCAGAGCTTGACACGCTGAGGAAGCCATTTCGGTGCAAAAAGAGGATATTATGTGACTCATGTACAACTCCGTCTCACATGGGTGGCGCTGCACTTGGCTGGAGAGGAGAGATAGTGTGAGGGAGAAGGACAC